TTTTCACCTATTTCCATTATCTGGCCATAAACTTGACAAAGGATAGCTTTGGAATGAGTTTATGGGTATGATAATGCTTATCTTATCCCTTGGACAGGTTAAAAAAAAGATTTTCAGTGACTCATAGAGCAGAAGTGAATGAGTAAACATCGAACTGGCAAAGAGAGCCACACTGAGATCATGGAATAAAGTCTTAAAGTACTTTAGTCTCCAGAGAGCAATTTACTTGAAAAATTAGGTAACTTTATAAATACGGTTGAAATTAGAATAAATTTGATTTCATTGGCATCTCCCTAAATTTAGGAATAATTACCGAATCATTCAAATGACTGTACCAATTAGAAATCAGTATTTTAAAAGATTATTCTTAATGTGAGTCCCTGTAGAATATAAGAGTTTAAATAGTCTAACTTGACTATATTCAAAGGTGGATATGCTATTTTTCATCATTGGTAATTAAATTGGATTTTTTAAATTTTACATTAAACCTAAAAAGAGAGCCGTGGAAACATGCTCTGTAAGTTGAAAGGTGATATAAATTTAGGGTATTATTATTATTCCTATTCCCGTTATTATTCCTATTCCTCACAGGATCCGGCATATGCTTGGCATGATTAATAAATATTTGCTGTGGCTCAATGGGGCCACATGCCACATCACCAGACCAAAACAGACTCTTTACAGATACTCCTGACAATGTGTTCTGCTTATAGTTATCTGTTAAAGGGGTTTTAGCTGGACCATTACCTCATTCTTTGCTCTGCCCTGTAATGTCCTCTAACTTTCTCTCTGTTCTACACACTTGTGACTCATCAATCAGGGAGATATGGGCACATGTATGTACCTTGTGTGACGCTTGCCTACATATGGGTTAAGAACCATTCTCAAATCATTTCGAAGCTTGCTTGAGTCCTCAGAGGTAAGCATTAGTTCTTATATTACTTCTATGGGTCTGCTTCCTGAGCACAGTGCCAGGCATGCCATCAGAATAAATGTTTATTTACAGCTGAATAAATGTCTCAGGAAACCCAGCAAACCCTGCTTTTACCCACATGGATGCTTTTATTTCTCTGTCCAGACAATACTTGTTGTGTCAGTGGACCTTATAACAGAGAAACAAAACAGCCTCTGAAAAAAGTGCAAGCAAAGCAATTGTCAATACAAAAGTATATGACATAATATGCCCTTTTGGGGATTACATATTTTTCAAGAAATGCTGGCCCTTGGCTTAAGCTGAGGTTGGTGTTTTCTAAATTGTACTAAAATTAGTTTTCCTTATCTCAAAGTAATAGAAGTCACGGGTAGCATGAGTAGATTAAATCTCCAAATAATGGAGAGGGAACTAATTTTAGCCCCAAATCCCTACCCTCTTACTAATGTTTCAGGAGAGCCATGACAAACAACAACACTAAATGGATGGAGTTTTACTCTCCTCTCTCCCTATTAGTATCTGATGGAATTCCTAATGAGAAAAGAAATCTAACCTCATCATTTGTCTCTAAACACTTACATCCTAAATAGGAATAGCAGGCTACCAAGAATCAACTCTTTCATATTCCTTTTTTACACAATGTTTTCCTAAAATAAGCAAAGACATCTGTCAGCTTCCATTCCCATGGATATTGGCATAGTGGTGATAGAAGGTATTGTCTTAAGCACTGAGCATGCTGCCTCTGCAAGTCAAAGGTCTTAGATGATGGCCTACTGTCTTCCAGGAAATATAATCATGACACATAGGTTGCTCCCAGAGGAGATGACCTAGGCATGCTGGTTTTCTGTGGGGGTGAACAGCAGTGCTCTGTGCTGCCCAATTCCTGGCTTTCTATCTCAGGCCACAGGACCACTCTTTTCCTGGTTAGCTATCTTTTCAAAGTTTACCACTCCTCTTCCACCTCACGTCCGTTAGTACTGATGAGGATGTGGAGAAATTGCAGCCCTTGCACATTCTGGGGAGGAATGTAAAAAGGTGCCGCTACTATGGAAAACAGTATGGTGGATCCTGAAGAAATTAAAAGCAGAATTAACATATGATCTAGCAATTCCACTTCTGGGGATATTCCTCCTCAAATTGAGTGCAGGGTCTTGAGGAGATATTTGTACGCCCATATTGATAGCAGCATTATTTACAATAGCCAAAAGGTGGAAGCAACCTAACCATCCATAGACGAATGGGTAGATAAACAAAATGTGGTATATAACTGCAATGGAATTTTATGCAGCCCGAAAAAGGAAGGCAATTCTGACACACACTAAAAGATGGATGAACCTTGAGGACATTAAGTGAAGTAAGCCAGTCACATATTATATGATTCCACTTATATGAGGTATCTAGAATAGGCAGATTAACAGAGACAAATGGTGGTTGCCAGGGGCTGAAGAGGGAGGGGAATGGAGAGTTTTATTTAATGAGTATAGGGTTTCAGTTTTGCAGGATGAAAGGAGTTCTGGAAATGGATGGTAGCAATGGTAACACAATAATATGAATGGACTTAATGCCAATGAACTGTACACTTAAAAATGGTTAATTGATCATTTTTATGTTATATGTATTTTACTATAATTTTTTTTAAAAAAAGATTCTCAAGAGTTTACCACTCACCTAGACCTAGGGAAGTATCAAGGCAGTGTGCCTGACTGGTCTACAGAGTCAGCAAACATCACATGTATATTACCAATTCCCCCTTCTTATGCCCACAAACATTATTAATTAATCATTTCCAAGTTCTTTCCTCCTGAGCCCAGATGCAACATCGTAACCTTACTCAACACAGGCTACTACATCATATAATTAGTGTTGATATGTCAGCTATGTTGATGTAGGAGAAAATTGTGATGGTCTATGAAATCTGTGCTAGAGAAAAAAATACAATAATATAAAGCTTCATAAGATAGGAGAAATCAACAAGAACTTGATATATTAAGAAAAAATTATTTTTCCTGTCTCAAAAAGTTCCCAATAATTGAACTAGAAGCAGTACTTTTGGCCCATATTACTACTCATTTGAATCCATTTAACCCAGGTTCAGGTCTGTATATTCTCTACAAAAAGGAACTAGAACTCTTCAAAGAGGAGTTGATTTTAAGTCTTGGGATGAGAAAATACAGTGAGTCAAGAATATCCTGTTGTTGCCCGAGAGCAAAGATCCTTTAAAAACTCCTGGGCACGGGGCGCCTGGGTGGCTCATTTGGTTAAGTGACTGCCTTCGGCTCAGGTCACGATCCCAGAGTCCTGGGACGGAGTCCCACATCAGTCTCCCTGCTTAGCGGGGAGTCTGCTTCTCCCTCTCCCTCTGCTGCTCCCCCTGCTTGTACTCTCTCTCTCTCTCTTAAATAAATAAAATCTTTAAAATAAAAACAAAACAAAACAAAAAACAAACTATTGGGCACAGTGCTAAAAGGATAAAGGAGGAACGGGGGGGGGGCTCCTGCTGCCCAAACTATACCAATTTAAGCATAAAATCATAATCGTCATCATCATCATCAAGGTGAACATCTTACATAAATGGAAAAGGTTGATATTAAGTCTTAACAAAGGTAGTTGTGATATAAATGGGAAATGGTAGTTGTTTTGCTGTTAAAAACTTAGAAGATATTAAATACATAACTACTTTGCTTCCTTTCGACTTAATATACAGACGCTGTTAAGCAGGATCTATTATCAAGTGTGAATGTGAACTTGTTTCTATCTGTATGAGCAGGAGAGACTAGGAACCTGTAAGCAGGCCAAGCAGTCTCTTCAAAATTAAGAGTTATACCATAAACATGATCAGCTTTTGTGGTCTCATATCATCCAGAAAGGAAAAACGAAGTCCATCAGTTCATTGCCACTAATAATTATATGTAATAAGTAATGAGAAGAGAGCCCAGTGGTGTCTCTTCAGAAGATAGATGAGCTGAAGGTCACACCTCCCCTGCCCCCGAGAGAGAGCACTGACCCGCTCCCCCAATTTCTATGGAATAAAACCTCTAGATCACCCTACTAATGAGACACTGATAAGACATAGGTAACGTTCCAATTATACCATAGAGGTCAATATATCATAATGACAGAAAAATAACGTAGGTTTAAGCCATCTGTTCACAACTTCGGGTAAAGACACTGAGTTTCAGAAGAAGAATATCTATCTGAGGGGTAGATACATTTTCCATGATGTAACTAGCACAAGTCATAATAAAAGGGTTTTGAACCCCTGGACTGTGCAAACAGATCCCACATCCTGACCTGAAATCGAAGGGTTAGGAACTTAGAACTTGCATCCTCATGGGCCTTTTTCTTTTTTCTTTCTCCCCACCACCACTACCTCTGCCCCCCAAAGGGTCTTTTTCTTTAAGGCCGTAGTAAAATCTCTAAAATCCTAGGAAGAGGTAAATTTTATATCACATAGACTTACTAAGGCACAGTAGAAATTGGATCACAGGAATATGTAAGAATAAGGATAAAAACATAAGTTTTATAATTATTGGGCTAGTTTAATGTGTGCTTTTGTGCTTTTAAAGGTATTCAGGTTATTTAAGGAAATTTGATATATTAGATTTATGATTTTTAATCAGGTCCTTAAGAGTGCTTGTCTCATTTCAATCACTGTAAATGATTAAGGAAATTTGCTCTGTTAAATCCATAAATTTTGATGACTTTGTTGAATAAGTAGTATATTATTACTTAGAGGAATGTTAATTGTGTTTAAAGAAAAATTATTTAATAAATTATAAATTAGACATTAAACAATGCACAAATGGTCATAAATATTCCTTTCCAAGCACAAAAGTCCATTGGACAGTAGAGACCATCAGAAGACAAGACCAATTTGCCATTCCGGGAGACACAAGACCATTAAAAATGATTGCTATTCAAGTAAAGATACCAATGTGCTGAATCTTTTCTATACAGATGGTGCCGACTTATCAGATTTGGTGTGGCTTGCATTTTTGATCAACATGTGTGTCATGAAAATTTTTGCTCCTCCAATTTCATTGCCAAACTAGAGCTGTTACTTCCATACCTTTTGGCTCATCTGTCTTTCCTCTTGGGTTATCGTCTTTTGTGGAATCTTTCAAGGTTCCGTATTCCTTTTCCATCTTAGCTGCTTCTTCCTTGGTACTATCTGTTTCTTCATGACTTTTTTCTGACGGTGCTGTAATCAGATTGTGCACTGTTGTTATCACCCTATTTCCTATCTATTAATTAATTCATAATGTAGAAATAAACTTTATTAAAAAGGTACAGTTTAAGGTCAGATCATTTTTTGAGCTGAAAGGAATCTTAGTGATTATCTAGTCCAACTTCCTCCCCCCATTTCACAGAAGAGGAAACCAAGGCCCAGAAAGGGGAGAGATGTGCACTGAGTTAGCAGAAGAGCGGGGCCAAAGCCCCCACCTTTCCAGGTTTTGGTTTAGTGTTCTTTCCCTTCTGCTACTGTGTCATTAGACCATAGACTCTTTTCCTTACTATAATCAGTGTAGGCAATCAAGTAGGACATGTCAGGTCCCAAAGTAAGTTTGAATCTTCATTCCAAAGTAAAATAACTCTGTAGTTGTTCAATCTCTTTATGATGTTGTATTGTTGAAGAACACTCTATACCTCGGAGTAGCACCTAAGAATTTGGGGCTATGGCAGGACTTTTCTTCTGTCTCTTTCTTCATATTCCCTTATCCCTGGTCACCCTAATGCAAAGAAGAGAACTGGACCCTTGCTGTCAGGATGGGGTCATCTTTGTTCACTCGTCACTTAAAAATAACTAATTTCCATATCAATTATACTTCAAAAAAAAAGACTGAGGGGACAAGAGTGGAAAAAAACTATATTTCCTTCTAGCAATCTTCTATTGAATTAAAAATGTCATACACCTTAAAGTAGCTAACCACTTGAAAACAGTTATAATGCATCCCTGTTGTAAATAAAATAGGAAACATCAAGCAGCCTAACAATAAGCTTTGTTTTTTCAATAAAAGGGTTATTACTATAGAAAAAAGAGGAAAGAAGAAAGAAGTCAGTTGTTACCTCATTATGAAAACATCCACTACTAGTGCCGTGGTCTGTATATATTTTTTGATGTGTCATTTTTTTTCATAGTTGCAGTACAATTTTGTTCCTTGCTTTTGTCATTAACATCATTATAGAAAGATGTTTCCAGGTTGTTAGAAACTACTTGGAAACATCATTTTAAAGAGCTATATAATATTCCATCAAATGTATGTACATAACTTCTGTGATAGGGACACAAAATTAGGCATATGAACATGTGATCTTTTCTCTTTTTGTTCCTTACTCCCCCGCTCAAAGCAGGCTCCTTTGCACTACTTGGTTCTGTGGTGCAATGGGTGGAGATGCAGGAGTGAAGAAACCAAGAGGAGGGGGTAAATCACACTACCTAGGGGCACAGACTGTCTCAGAGGAGAGAGGAATACTTGGAGGGGGAAAACCAGTGGAGGGGCAGCAGAGAGTAGACAGATGACCAGGAATAGTGTTCTGGAGAAATGATGATCTTGGGAGAGAAAAAAATGCCTAAAGGAGAATTTCAGGAAGAATGACTCAGTTTTGTGATATAGTCTCCTCCCTTCCCCACCAGCCATCTCCTAAAAATCTTCAGCGAAGACCTGCATTTCTTTTCAATGCTCGTTAGGATCAGATTTCTATGCTGAGACTAGCCACAAAATAGCCAAGGTTATACCTACTTAATCCTATGGTTGGATTTCAGATTTTAAAACTTTTGAAATCTATAATTGTTGATCAATGTTTATTGAACTCATGCAAAGGGTGATTGTGCTAAAAGGTAGAAAAATAGTGAAATAAATCATACCTGGGAAAAGTTTGCTTTTATTGTCAGTAACATTTTTTTCTAGCTTGTTCTTGGTCTGAAGAGCAATAGTTTCATCCAAGTTTTCTGGAGGGAGGAGGGGAAGAAATACGAAATATTTTATTTCTTGAAAGATGATATCAAACTTCTACTAAAACTGTTTAAACATCAACAGAAATATCACAAAGCAATTCCACAATATTAACACTGTGATTAAGATGCTTTGACATGGATCTTATTTCTAGGAATCTACTATTCTATACTATTTGGGATCCTTAACTCAGCCTCCTACTCAGTTAATTACAGAAGTCTCTTCCACTTCTCTGGGGCCACTGCTAGAACATGTCTGGGGTTGAAGCCTTTAATGGACACCTGTGGTTTCGGCTTCCTCAACACTTTCTGGTAAATACACCTTGATTTTCCTTTAGAAAACCCAGACCATTCCCATTCTCAGCACATTTGGCTCAGGCGGGGCCTAATAATCCTGGCCTAGCTCCTCAGGGTCTCCACCGCCCTGAGCTGAGTGATTGGTTCAAAGAGGAGCCTGTGATGCAAGCCAGGACCATGAGATTCAATGCTAGGGCCACTGGGGCAAGAGGATCTTTTCCTGCTAGGATTGCTGTACTGTGAGGATGGAGATTGCCAGCCATCTTTTTCCCATAATGGAGCAGCTTATCTGGAATGAATCAACACATGGAAAGTCAGTGCTGGGGACTATTGGTGGACTTTACAAACCTAACCAACATCAGACTACCCCTGCTCCTGGACTCCTCAGTTACATGAGGCAATGAATTCCCTTTCCACTACTATCCTGGATAGCACAGCTATGAACAGTCATGGAAATACCTACCTTGCACCTAAGCCTTGTGGCATTTCTAATCTAGTTCCATTGGATAAATGACTTAAGTGTGGAATTTGAGTCACAGGGTATTGGTATGAAACAGTGATTGATCTGAAACAATGCCTTTGATCTACTGTTGAGTAAAGTAGGCCACAAAGCATTATGCATAATGTGAGCCCATTTTTTGTTAAACAAGGTAAAACAAAGAAACAACCAAGGTATATATGTGTGTATATATCTGGAAGGATATAAACCAGAATATCGCCTGGGTGCCAGTATTATGAGTGATTTTTTTTAATTCTTCTTTTTCTTTTCTTTTTTTTTTTTTAAGATTTTATTCATTTATTTGACAGACGGAGAGTGAGCACAAGCAGGTAGAGCAGTAGGCAGAGGGAGAAGCAGGCTCCCTGTTGAGCAGGGAGCCCGATGCGGGGCTCGATCCCAGGACCTGGGGATCATGACCTGAGCCGAAGGCAGACGCTTAGCCAACTGAGCCACCCAGGTGCCCCTTTTTACTTCTTTTATAACATCATTTTGCATTGACTGATTTTTTAAAATACATATGCTCTTTTGTAATCAGAAAAAAAAACAGTAAAATTATTTTCCTGTGGAAAAAAATGGAGTTCATAGAGAGTAATTCTGGATTATTCTATCCTATGAGATTTTCTCTTCTGTCTAATTCTTCCTCCTCTGTTAGAGATCAGAGTAAGGGGCCATGAGGTCATCTTGCTCAAAGGACATCAGGGATAAATGGTATTTGTTGATTAACTAAACCAAGCAGAAAAACCAAAGGCTTTTTTTTTTTTTTAAACAACCTACATGCAGAGAGAATGTTCAAGCTTATCTACAAAGTTCAAGGAATCAAAGGTCTGCAAACTTTTTCGGTAAAGAGCCAGATAGTAAATACTCTGTGGACCATCTGTGGTCTGTGTTGTAACTACTGACCTCTGTCGATGTAGCACAAGATCAGCCACAGACAGCAGGAAGCAGGTGCGTGCAGCTGTGTCAATAGAACTTCAGGTATGGACGCTGCCATGTGAATTTTACATACTCTGCTTCTGCCACACACACCATTCTCCTTTTGATTTCTTTCAACCATTTAAGAATGTAAAAGCAATTCTTAGCTTATGTGCTATACAAAAATAGGCAATGGGCCAGATTTGGTCCATGGGCAGTAGTTAGCCAGCCCCATCATTGATCACAAAGTCCTTTATTTTAGAGATGCCGAAATGAAGGCCAAGCAAGGTGAGTGCCTTCCCCCACGGGACGGAGTTGTCTGTGGCCGACCTGGACCAGGGGGCATCACTTTCTGCTGCTCAGTCCAGGGCTCTTTCCTTCCCACCACACACACACCTCACTGGTTAAAATCAACTCTTTTAGTCCTGACCACCCAAACACAATTGGAAAAAAAAGGGGGGGGGGTCAAATTTTAATAAAATTGTCTCCATGGAGATATTTAGAAAATGTTAATAAGACAAAATGTAATAAATGTGAAATGTTTGTACTCAAGCTATATCTATAAAAAGTTGAAAACTTCTGGTTAATTTTATTTATATGCGTTATCAAGCTGGTCAATTCCGGTTACTCAGATCCATCATAAATGATCAAATTTGTGAGGCAATTATTGCCAAATCCCTTCTTAACTTTGGACAATGAAAACTATTACAGTAAAAACAAAACAGATAGGACTCTCACCAAGGTAGGAAACGCCTTCTTCTGGAGATATTGTGCCATACTTTACCATCATCTTCACAAAGTCAATCAACGTTTTCATGATAGTAATCAGTGTTTCTTTCTCTTTTGCCTCTTTTTCTATATAAAAGGACAAAATAATTTTTTAAAAAAACTAGTGGACAAACAATGAATCATGGAACACTTCATCTAAAACTAATGATGTAATGTATGGGGATTAACATAAGAATAAAAAAAATAATAAAAAAAAATAAAAAAAACTAGTGGAATATAGCTTCCTCTTTCAGTGTCAATTTATGAAGTAGGCATCTTATCGAAATATTTCTCCCTACATTTATAGCTGAAACCACATATATTTAATTTACAGAAAGCCTAAGACTTGATTCAGAATACAAGATAATGTACAGATATACTGAACTTTTCCAGAAATGGGCAATCAATTATAACTTCTCCAAAAAGATTAATCTAAAATATTTTATTAATAAAGTAGATGATAAAGAGACAGTTTGCAACCTGAGGTAATATGAACTCAAAAAGAAAGACGATTTGTGACCCAACAATTTTTCTTTACTCAAGCTGTATGTTTTTGAGGGCAAGAATGACCTGTTTTCACTAATCAAACTTCATATTTGAAAATAAAAACACACATGTATCTTTATTTTTTATAACATAAGGTTGATTTTTAATAGTAGTATATATTGCTTTCTAAACTTTTTTTATTTGAAAGAATATATGCATATAGTAAAAATATTCCCACAGTACATAAGTAAATAATAGTGAAAATAACATTTTTTTCCTACCCCCCAACTCCTACTCCCTATATGTAACCACTATTAACAGTTTCTTGGGGGGTGCTTGGGTGGCTCAGTTGGTTAAGTGTCTGCCTTCAGCTCAGGTCATGATCTTAGGGTCCTGGGATTGAGCCCCACATTGGGCTCCCTGCTCAGCGGAGAGCCTACTTCTCCCTCTCCCTCTGCCTGCTGCTCTGCCTACTTGTGCTCTCTCTCCGTCAAATAAATAAATAAAATCTTAAAAAAAAAACCAACAGTTTCTTGGGAACTCTTCATAACTGGCATAGTGTTCTGCATCTTAGTGGAAGAGGATGGCTAATGATTCTATAGTCATTCAGTATATATATCTATTCTAAAATTTAAAAAAATCTATTTCCATTTTTGAAGAAAGGTGCTAGAGGAGAGCCCATTTTCCCTATTCTTTTAGCTTTTTAGCTACAATTAAGGATTTCTTCTAAATACTCCTAGCCTCCCCGCCCCCCCAATCTTTGCATCCTTCCTACAGATGAGGTTGGTAGGCAATGGCCATTAGTCTTCTTTCTTGACTGATAGGGATTTGGACTCTTCTTTTTGCTCCCCTGGAACAGTGGAAGGCAGGGACCTGAGACAAGTGCCAGCTCTGTAGAATCCAATGATCCTTGGTATTGGCTGTTCCAAGAACTAGACTGAGGACAGGGAGTGAGCAAGCCCAGGGTTGGATCTCACACTAAGCTGCATTCTACAAACCTTACAATGCAGTCTTTATCAGTATCAGAAATATTTTGGTTTTCCACCCGTTTTATTATTTCTCAGTTGGTTCAGACCTTGGGTGAGAAAGATGGGTATTGTCAAAGACCTTAGTGTAAGGATTTAAATTAAAATTCTATAAAAATAAAGGAAATTAAGAATAGGGTCAAGGAAACTGAAAGATAAAAACAAATAAAATAAAAAAATGTTCCATACAGTGGAATCTTTCAAATATCATGAAAGTCCCAAAGTTGGGAGAGAAGAAAGATGAGAGAGGAAATGGGGAGGAGATCCTGGAAAAGCGCCTGTAAATAACTTCAGCCATCACATTATTTGTTCAAGGTCACATCTGTGTAGGTATATGGTATCCTGCTGATGTTCTTCCCTGACAAGAAGTGACTCACCAAGATGGCAAAGGTTCTGAGCTGGGCATTTGCCATTCAATGGGGCAAGATGGCTGAGAATGGACCCTCAAGACGTACCAGCCCTGCAGACACCAGCGGAGGGGCTGGTGCCATCTGGCCAATGTCTGGAATTGAAGGACAATGGATATTCCCTAGAAATGAAAGCTCACTCTAAGGTCACTTCTTGGGGAACTATTTATTACAAATGTTCAATCCGGGGCTGAATCTTTGACCAGGGAGAGGAAAAGCCATAAAGCAGTGCAGAGCATCTGTCTGGACAATAACAACAAAAGAAAATTTGCCCATTATAATCTTCCTTGAAGATTAATCAAAACTAAACATGAATTGAAATCTTCAGCTAACCTATTTTGGTGTACATGTAAGAGAAAAGGCACATCAAGGACTTTGTTTTTAAAAAACAAATCATTTTCCAAGTGTGTTTTGGGCTCCTGACCTGCTGTGGTCCAATGTTTAGTTCATTTGAACTCATTTCAAGACCGGAGCTGAAAATGTCTAAAAAGCAAAAACCTGAATTATTTTTAAAAGGATAAGTTATGTTATACACACTGTTCCTACTACAAGAGGAAAATGAATACAGTCTTTAAGAAAAAAAAAAAAGGATTTGCAATAAGATTTGAGGCTGAGCAAGTCAGATAGGGACATTGATTTCTCTCTACATCTGCACAGGGCTCACCTCAATGTCCCAAACACCATACATGTCCAGTAACTGTTTGTTGAACAAATAAATGAACACTCTGTTAACAAGAAGATTAAACTACCCAGAAGCTCCACCTTTCCTGATTATCCTTTCCTGAATATTTTCATGACTAGTATTCTTCTTTTGAAAAAATTGACGTGAACTCTTTTCCCCGAGGCCACAATATATGTCATTGAAGACTGCATTTAGAAACTGAAAACAGGAAGAAAAACCCCACCCATGTATTTCCTGGAATTACTGTTTCTATTCCACATGGTCAGAAAACAGTGTTTACCTGAATCAATACTTTTCAGTAGTGCGTAGAAGTTTGGGAAATATTGGAGTTCCTCAAAGTTGTCTTCATTGTAGATTTTAGTTCTCCTTTCCAAGCCATTTGTCAAGGTTAAGGTATTAGATACTGTTTCATCATTTTGTCCATTAGTAAAACCATCTTGAATTGCTGCCATTGGAGTCTCCATTGGGGGAAAAAATTAACAGTTTGTTAGAACTAATTATGCTGCAGCTTGATTCTTTCTTCTGTGGTGCCCTTGAATGTGAAGTGCAAGAATACCTCCTCCTTTGCAAGCTCCTGCAGGATCAAACCCTTTTCCAGGCAAGTGGGCATGTAGCCACATGGAAGGGTCATTGGGGCTAAGAGACATATGCTCCACCTGAGGACCCTGGCTCTTGTTCCTGGAGAATAGACAGGGAATTTCTAGGTTCCTCCTTGGCCAAGTTCCCCTCTGTCAGTTCTCATGAGTGTCTCCTCATAGAAATGCCTTTCACCAAGGAGGGGAGCTTTGAAGTCATAGAATTGACAACAGGATACAGGAAAGCCTAGCAGAACAGTTACACCTTGGGGACTTCTCAGTGAAATTTTAAGGACTATCTGGAAAAGTACACAGGACTCTTTCTCCCAGACCTGATCCATTTCTAGTGTTCTGCATCTTAGTTATGGATGGATAGATCCATTGTCCATTCAGTGGACTAGACAGAAATTTAAGAGCCTTTCTTGTCTCTTCCTCTTCATTTCCTTCATCAGTAGCCTTCCTTGTTGGCCCTACTTTCAAAATCTGTCCCAAATTTGTACATTTCTCTCTTTCTCCATTACCTGGCTCTAGTCCCGATACTTTCATCTCTAACCTTCTAACTGGTACATCAACTACTTCTAATCTATTCCCAACACTGCATTTTCCATGTTGTAGCCAGAGTTATCTTTTTAAAAATATGATCATGTAACTCCTTTGCTTAAAATTGTCCAGTGTTTTCCCACTGGTCCTACAATAAAGATCAGAACCTAAGGCCTTGCCTGGTCTGCCCTGGGTCCACATCCTCAGGCTCATCTCTCATTTCTCTCTCTGTGAGCCAGCCACCCTGCCCTTGTTGGAGCTACTTGGATATTCCACACATTCTTCTCTACATACTGCCTCTCATATTCACAAGTTAACTCCTATTCAGCCTTCAGTTTTGGCTCAACTCACTTCCTCAGGGAAGCCATCCCTGGGCCTAATTCCAGAACAGGTTCCTTTTTAACGAGGTCTCATAGAATCATGTTTCTTTCCTCAGAGTACTTAAGGCAGTTGTAGTTAAAATAGGTGACTATTTGAAAACCATCTACTTCTTCCATTAGACCTTAAGCTTCATGAGAGCAGGGATTCTATCTTTTTAGATGAGCATTACATCCCCAGTGCTTGGTTCACAATTGGTACCTCAATAAATATGTACTGAATGAACATTTCGTTTGCATTTAGATGACATGAGTGAACAGGTCAAGCATATGGATGTTTTCGAGATGGGTGAATAAGGAGTACAAAATGGGAGTGAAAGATCAGGAAAATACAGTAGCTATGTCACTTTCAGTTCGGATGGTTAGCTTGAGTGAATGTCATGAGTTCTTTGATAAATCAAGAATGTTTTGGGTAGATCTTTAAAATCTGTTTTAAAAAAATGAAAGCTGGTGGAGATGGGAAGTAGGGAGACCAAAGGGGAGCTGTTATGCTATCTTGGAAAAGAAAAATCCAGACCCAGTTTCTGTTTTCTAGCCTCTCCTAAAACAGAACAATAGGCCTATACACTCTTTTTCCTTGTATTTGGGATACAATGTTGGAGGGGTGAGGAGCCATGGGGTCTGGATGCTCTGGTGGAGAAAACAGGAGAGGTGGAGAGATTGATATTTTCTTATATCCCTCTGTGGTCAGCTCCATCTAGAGTTTTAAAGGGAATTCAGAGGGGAGAAAAATTTTAGTAGCTTGGCGGATGCCAAAGAAGAGATGAAGAGGCACAGAGTCCAGGAAGGGGAAGGAAGGATGAATGACTAGTAAAGGATGGTTCCAGGCCTCTGAACCAATGAGAAGAGGAAAGAGCAGGTGGAAGAGCTCAGGATATAACAGAGAGGCAGTATCAGGCGACAAGCTCTGGGGAACACAGGCTGGTGTGGCAGAGGATCAAATCAACCCGAGTTTCTTTTTTTGGGTTCTGGAGGCAGATGATGACATTCTGTGAACAGAAGTTATATACTGAAAGAGCTGTGAAATATTTGGTTCCAGTCCATTGACATTATACAAGCAGTTGTATGTGGAATGGTTATAACATTTCCACCTAACATTATGGGTTAATTTACTGTGAAGTTTAAGATGTAACCTTTACTGTGTAATATAATATAACCTGTATCTTCATTTTCAACATAGAGTTGGCTTATATCTTTTAACTTACTGGTATTTTGTGAGGATATATTCTAAGTGGGTTAAACGTGTCACATACTCCAAATCTTCTTTGGCACCAAGATATTAATTATATACAGATTGCATTAATTATATACAAATACAAGTAGACACAGACACATACCCATGCACATGCATATACACACACCCATAACATGCATATGAATTCACACATACATACCACTTTCTCTGGTATTTTTCCAGCCTGACTCTCAGTCATGCTTGTCGGTTTATTGGGTTCCTCCTCATAAGTGTTGGCTTCCTTTGAGATCAATTTTTGTAAAACCTCTGCTACTTCATCTTCTAGTGTGTGCGCCTGGCTTTCTGTGATCTGTTATAAGGAGTGAAAACATATATAACTGGTATTCTCATACTTGTGATTAAAAAATTTAGACTAAACTCTGTAGTTGAATACATTTTTAAGAAGATGAGAGAATCTTCTGGTCCCTCTTTCTAGATAACCCTTTTTTATACCTCTATTATTTGCTGGCCATTCTAGTGTCTGCCCCACAATTCCTGGGAAAAAGTACTTTTGGGCTGTACAGGTAATCAGGCCTGTCTTTTGGAATCCATGGAACACTTATTTTGAGAAATATCTTGAGGGTTATTTCTCTCTTTTTTTTAAAGATTTTATTTATTTATTTGAGAGAGAGAGAAAGAGAGAGAGAGCACAAGCAGGGGGGAGAGAGAGAAGCAGGCTCCCTGCCAAGTGGGGAACCTGACGTGAGGCTCAATCCCGGGAAACTGGGATCATGACCTGAGCCCAAGGCAGACACTCAACCAACTGAGCCACCCAGGTGCCCCTAAAGGGTTATTTCTCAAGCCTCCGCTGCAGGTCATGGCCAGGAAACCTCTGAAACAGGCAAATTTAGCTCTCTACTAAAGCCTGACAGGGCAGTACAAGGGCTGGGAGCCAGGCTGAGGGATGATCCAATTAAATCGCTTACAGTTTCCCAAACGTTGTATGTCTTTGCTCCTGTTATTCTCTTCTCACACCGCACGTATTTTTACTGCTGCTTGTTAAATCCTAACCATCCTTTTAAGCTGACTTCAAACACCTTCTCTGAAGCTCTTCCTTATTGCCCAACTGTACATAACCCATCCTCTGGCATGCTGAACTGCTTTTACGGTTCTGATGCAGCTTGCATTGTGGGCATGTGTATATTTGTGTAGTTCCTTTGGTAGACTGTAAGTTCCTAGAAGAATGTTGTCTTATTTGTCCTCAAAACCTACAGTGCCTAATATAAACTAGAGGTATTATAAACATTTGGCTACAACTTGGATCATGTGGCTTGGATTCTTAGCAAATTCCAAACTGTACTAAGAAATGGGTTTATTCTCATGCAGGACTTACGAGGCCAAGATTCAGCAGTTTAGAAACAATCTTATCAAATACTCCTCTGTCATTTTCCTCATAAATCCTGGTAGCAATTTTTTGGACGATGTCTTCAGCAGTTAAAGGAGTTCCATCTAGTTGATGAAGGCCATCTGGATCATCTAGACAGAGTAATCACAGTTCCACATCATAGTTATCAGAGGTCATGTGTCATATTATATTTATAATCTGTACCTTGCTCATCTACACTCAGATATGTTTGGAATGCATTTATGGTGTTGCTTGGTCCACATAAGCCCTTGGTTTGAAATAAAATTTTACTTTAAAGGTGAGATGCTAAGATGGTAATGGAAATTCTGAAAGCTTCTTATGTGATTGTAAGAGAAAGGAAGATCTGAAGACAACACAAAAGGCCTCTCCATTTTTTATTCTCACTAATAATACAAACAAGGTTGTATTTTAAAATTTACCAGTGGGCCATATTTATGTAATATGCCATATTGTCCAAAACATAATTTGATATTCCATTTCCATACAAGGAGTAGACTCATAATATCTGCACGTGTATTTCTTCTGCTGGCAAATTCCTGGGCTGAGAGTGGGGAACCTGCCTCACACCCAGAATCAGAGAAGGTGTACTGAAGATTTTATGATTTATCTGGAATAAATACTTACTTCTAACTGAACGTGTGTCAGAACTCCTTTACGGAAGACAGCTTAATGTGATAAGCCCCTTTCTCTAGAGAGTAGGGAACTTATTTTATATGTCTGAAATTTAAACTTTTAAAACAAGACAACAGATTTGTACAAAGCAATATGTAAATCTATGTAAATCTCTGCAGAGATGCTTGCAAATATGTGTCCTTGGCTTTCCTGGGAATACATTTGGCAGCACTACTTTAGAGTAAAGCAAGAGCCCATCGGGAAGGAAAGGCACAGTAGGGTTGTTGACAAAGAAGCATTGCACCATGTCCAAGACAACTCTCAGGAATCAGTTGGTCTTTTCTAACCTACACCACATCAAGCAATATATTAATATGTGCAAATTTACAAGGCAGATTGGAAAGATCAGAATTTTAGCCCATGTTGCCTCTTGTTACCTATAAATCCTTAGACCACTGTAAAGGGAGATAATAGGATTATCTGTTTCATGGGATTATTATGAAGCTCAGATGGAATAAGATGTAAATGCATGTTTTAAGTTGTAAATTACTATATGAAAGCTAATGTGCAGTATTATATGAAAACTAAAAAATTATTATTTATAGTGGATTTGTACCAACTGCGATTATCTTCTAGAGAAAATGGAAATTGAGTCTCTGGTCAAATTCTGCCTAAATAATTCTGATCATATTTACTCAAAGAAAGAAGAGCCTAGTATTTCTATTTTTATTCTGTCCTTTTCTTCCGTGACTTTGAGGATTCAAACAAGAAATTTCTCTCACAACCTTTCTTCCAGAATCTATACAGCTGAAGATACATGCTGCCTTAGGCAGAACATTTTCTTGTTGTTTGAAAAGAAGCTTAGGAAACTGAATAGGGTGATTATACATGGAGGACTAGAAGCTTCCTGATAATATATTATTGCTGAGCTGTCGACCAATCCATTAGCTATGAGCCCTTTGAGCCCTGTGTATCAGAGTGACTAATAAACAGAAAACACCCTAAGGAGAAAAAAAAAAACCCATAAAACCAGTTCTCCTCCTGACTGACTGAAAATTGGGTTCTTCATCCATTTTTTTTCAGGAGCAGAGACTCAACTGTTATTTAGGTCTGAGTTTTCCATTTGTGGTTTGCTAGACAGACTCTCGGGAATATGTGGAGCAGAAACTACCTAAGGTCTATGCAGAGGTGGAAAAATTTATTTCCCTTCCCACTTAATCCCTGATCTGAAGAAAAGGAGGAGTACTGGTTGCCTGCTGGTGCTGGAAAACAACTGAGATGACTGTTTTTCAGTTCATTTACTTCATAACAGGGAGAACATAAGCAATATTTGGAAGAAACAGCCTTTTTGTGCTGCTGCACTACTGCATTCTCTTGAGCCAGGAGCTCAGGCCTCCCCTAGCAGACCTTTGCTAGATGGGTTGATAGTTGACCACTTGGACATTGCTCTTTACCTTCCACTGATTTTCCCTGGCTTCTCTAAAATGGACAGAATTACTCAGTGACTTCTGTACTGCTCACGAAAGCGTATTTTACCCTCCTATATATACCCTCAGAGGGAAGCCAAACATGAGTTCAACATCCATAACTTTTTTAAAGCAACTACAACATTGTAAGTGGATGTAAAAGGACCATCTTCCAAGTCACAATCTTCCCAGTTATTTTTTAAATCCTTGGCATCTATTTATGGCAACTGACATTCATTCGTCCAACACATTTTTTATTAAAGTCTTAATATGGGCCAGAACAGGAAACAGACTGATAAATAGTTTAGGTGTGATACCTAACTACACAGAGCTTATTGTCTAGTTCATAGTCTGACACATAGTAATTGTTCAATGAATATTTGTTTGGTGAATGCACACAGGAGCCCCAAAGCACTACTTCATAAAAGACACTTGGAAAAATCCTGAATCACGTATACTGTAGAAAACACAGGAAAGGAGACCTGATGGGCCCTACAAGACCATCTGGAGGTTTCCTAAATGTGTAAAAGTACACTGCAGAAGTTTTGCTCCCTCACTCTCCCTTCTAGGATGTAAGTCTGCCTGCCTCTGAGGTTCCAGTTAACTTGGTGGTCCCAAACCCACCTGGTTCCAGGATTTCCAAGGTATGAGAGGAGACCAGTAATTCACTCATAGACCATTCTCTCCAAAAGTCTTCTCTGTAGTCTCAAGTGGACTTGAAATGACTCCTAGGGTAAGCCTAGAGCCATCAGGGCTAGGACTTGATAGTTCTGAACCCATTTGGGATGGTAATAAAACATTGAACAATTTAAAAATAAGTTACTCAGGTTAGTGGTCAGATCACAAACAGATCTATGCCTCTACCTGCACATACAACCAGTTTGACCAAAAAAAAAAAAAAAGTAGCCAAACAAACATTAGACTATTTTTTAAAATTTTATTAAATCAAATGGTCGGTTCAGTCAAAGTAGTTGAAATTGTTTTGTATGCAGCTATACCCAGTGCCTATCTATTTCTAGTCCAAATATTTTAGGTTAAAAAGTAGAATTCAAGAGAAACACATTTCTATGAGTAGTATACAATATGAAATGTTTCAAAATATAAACCATCTCCCCTACCCCATTCATATACAACACACTTATTAATTTTCCTCAGGCTGTGATATCCAATGAAAGTCATATTTAATTGGTAGTTGTTTTCTGGCAGAGATAACCAGCCTAATTCTCTTGTGGCCATGGAGCAGAATAGAACATTAAAGAAAATTTGTAGTCACTCTTAAGCAGTGGTCCTCAGCACAGAAAACACACTCTCCTCCTCGATGCTCAGATATAATAGTTCATTTATTCCCTGGTGTATTATTTTATTTGCTCATTCATTCCTTTATCCATCTACTCATGCAGTGAATTCATAAGCATTCAGACACTGGGTGTACAATGTTTCTGTTCTAGTGAAGTTTTCAGGTTAGTTAAGGAGAAAGACATAAATCATAAGTAGTCACACTTAGCAATGTAAAATTACAAATTACATTAAGTGTCATGAATGAAAGGAACAGGTTTCTATCAGATCATGTGTGCTGGATAAACACAAGAATCTGTCCTTCCAGGACTATGGAAGCCACATTAAAGATTTGGGTTTTTATCCCAAGAGAAATAAGAATCTACTAATGGGTTTTATGCAAGAGTGACAAGTTCATACTTGTGTGTTGAAAAGATCACTCTGGCTGCTCTGAGTTGGAAAAGGGCAGAGTGGATGCTGGAAGATTCATTAGGAGATTTTGCTGTAGTTCAAGTGAAACATGATTAGAGTTTGGACAAGGATGGTGGTGATCGAGGATAGAGAAAAAAACTATTTTATATACAGGTAATATATATATATTTCAGAGAAGGAGAAGTGTGGGCTAGTGTTACAAGACATGAGGCTATAGATGGTAATTAAGAGTCATGGAAAGGTTAGAATGACCCACGGAGACGGATATGACTAGGAAAAGAATACTGAAAAGAAAGTAATGGATATTTCAGCTTTTGTGAGGAGTATTTTATTGATTTCATTACTTGAGAATTATGATAGTTTCTTTGTACTAATAGTTAAAAAAATTGGAATGTTAAAATGAATTCAATCACATAAAATATAGATGGCAGATTTAAATTGTTTTCAAAGCATCAGTAAAGGAACCTTAAAATGAGAAAATAAAATCTGGGTTTCTGTGAAGCTGAGCCCTCACAGAAATATTTGGGCTTTGTTTTAATTTTGGTCCTGACTAATAAAGGACTAAGAATATACAAAGGCTATTTTTAAAACATAGGACTTTCTCTTAACCCACAATGGGGAGACTCCAAGTTAGAGAAAATAGGAATCAAAAGTTCTTTTTCCTCATTTACCTTGAAATTTATGATTCAGTCCACTCTTAGTAGAATCATAATCATCAATCAGTCTTCGATTCTTGGTTGAATCAACATCTTCCACATTCAATTTATTATCATGTGGGGAGCTTCTAATGAATTGTCTTTCTTTCTCAATTTTTTCCTTTTCTGTTATTGCCTTTAGCAGGTTCAAGTTATCAACAAAGGAATAATTGCTTTCACCTGGCTTGTTTTCTGGAAGAAAAACCCCCAAGCCCAACACATCTATTTTAGTTAAGATTTTCATAACCTTTTAAAAAAAATTATATCAACATAATTTCTTTTTACCTGGAGGGTATGTTTTTTTAATCTTGTCTGCTTCTGCTTCAGCAATCTGGGAAGTAAATCGGAGGTAGACCTGGTTTTAAATCATTGCTCCACCACTTACCAAATATGACAGCTAAATGATTTAATCTCTGTGGGATTTAGTTTTCTTATTTGTAAAATATAGATAATAATTTCTATCTCAAAGCATTGCCATAAAGATTAAATGAGATAAAATAAAGGGCAGATGGTCTACAAATATTAATTCCCTTCTCCTGTAATATTGGGGAAAGATAAATCTGATAAATTAAGCAGTCTTAAAATAGAGTGGATGTGATGTTGGGCTTACTGGGTTATTATATAGTCATTTCTATGTATTATACAGAATTCTATGTATATAACTGTTAAGACATACAATTTCCCAAACTGTATTTTCCATCCTAATTTCTGTCAATTTATTTTTAAGCTCCTGAAGTTTGTGAATTCAAAATGGCTAAAATGTCACAGCATAATTACATTAAATATAATAACTAAAGTAAAATGAAATAGCATTTATAATTTTACTTTTGACCTACCTGTTCATTCAAAGGTCTTTCTGCACTTAATTCTCTATTATGTAGGGGTTTGTCTAGAATAACCAAACACAAATATAAATTTAATTATGCAGTGGAAAGACACAATATGTCTCTTACTACATAAAATCTCCAAAAAAGAAAAATAAATATTAGGAGAAATTTTGGGGGGTGACTGTGAAACAAAAATATGTATTAACAAAGATAATCAAGATTATACAATAACAATGATTATCAACGTCGCTTTGCTTATTATCCTTGTGTACTTCCTGAGTTAATAGAATCACGCTTTTATTTTTCTGCCCAGAAATCTAACATTTAGTTCTAACACTTCTCTTACCAGCTGTTTCCAGCTAGATAGAGCATAATTTGGATTATGGAGTCCTGGCACATTAAAAGCTCTTTTATCATCTGCTGCACATATTAAGAATAAAATATCTGAGAAAGGTTGTAAGACAACTAGAAAAAAAATATGCCACTTTTTAAGGCGGAAAACCGCCCCCCTCGCCAGTTTCAAAATAAGATATTTCAAAACAACCCATGTTATTACTCTATCATTCAAAAAGTGTGGGGGGAAAAATCCGTCTTCCTGTCTCTAAATTCGAACTGATTTCTCTGTCAATAAGCACGGATACGACCTGATCAGAAAAGAGGCAAGGTGATTTACAGTTTACGGGATTCTGCCAAGCTTTACCTCTTCGTGGTGAAATAAAAGGGAGGTGGGAAGAAAAGTGCCCACGTACCTTGACTGCCTCCCGGCTTGGGGAAAGCTTGGATTGGGCTGCTTTGGAGCACCAACACCAGAATCCAAGTGCCGGTCCACAGGAACCCCATTCTTCCACGCTTGGCTTCAGAAGCAGCCCGGCGCCGGGCTCCCAGAGCTGTGGCTTTTGTTATGAATGAAAAGGAGGAGTAAAAACAGGAAGAGCCAGGAGGGCGGGTGAGGGGAGGGAGAGTGGCAGGGATCCAGCGGCCGGTGGAACTCCGCGCGGCTACCCGGTAAAGGGATTAGAAAGGCTCCGGGCGCTCGGAAGTCAGGTCTTCAGGTGGAGGAGAGCGCTGTCCGCCCCGTGGGTGCTGAAGTTCCTGTGACGCGAAGCCGGCCTCGGGTCGGCTAGGGCGTAGCCTTACTCTCTCTCCCTCCTTGAGAGGAAGTGAGGAAGGAAGCGCATGCTCCCTGAGAGTCAGAGGCGGGAAGGGATGGCGTCAGCGACTCCAATGCTACTCCAATCCCCCGAGAATGCAAGGGGGGAGGGGCGACTGGCAGGCTAGCGTATTTTCTGTGCCGCAGTCCTACGGGTGCTCCTGCGCTCAGGGTCACCTGGATTGCTATAAACGTGGACGTCACTGTCGTAACTTCCCAACCAAACGTTACCTCAAGGACCAAATGCCTTCCCTGCCCTTACACCTGTTAAGGAGAGCTAGATAACCTTGTGTGAAGGTTTCTGTCTTGGGATAGTTCTGGGATATCTGCTCCAGAATCCCTTCTTTCCACTCCACCCCCTGTCCCCAAAAGGTAGATATAATTCTTACATCCTTAGAAAAGTCCTGCCTTTGTGATTTGGGTTGACATATAAAACGTCCCTCGTCCCTCAGTGCTCTTATTTCTGTCTTAGCTCCATGCAGTCTTTTGAATTGGGAAATTCAAGGAACGTTCTTTCAAGTAGAATGCTGCTACACATTCTCACTCTCCTAGATACTGAAGCAGAACTAAAAAAATTATTACCTGTTCCCCCAAGCATGGATGTCCTCATCAGTCTGGGGTAAGTAAGCATCAAGGGCCAGTTTCATTGTAAAATTCCCCCTTCCCCACTAAGGGGAAAGCTCCCTCTTCATCACCACCAGCACCACAAAGCAAGCAAACAAACAAACAAACCTGCATTCCGGTAAAATTCTTCCCCCGGATTCAATTATGCCTAAGGGCCTGGCTGTTCCAGAGGTCTTTGAAGAGAGGGGATAGTCACAAAAAACATTTACATCATAACTAGGTCAGGAGGTGCTTCCTCTGTTCTGAGAATATTCCCCGAAGCCTAACATTATTGCATAAAAGGAGTTATCAAAGACTTTTAAATGATGAATACAAGCAACAGTAATGTGAGCAGGATGCTGAGTAAGCTCTTTAGTTTCTGATTTTTAAACAGAGCTTGGAATCTTTCCTTTGGACTGTGGCATTCTGGGAACCAATCTGAATAATGACCAAATAGAAGGATTCAGTACAATCAGGCCTTTGATTTCTGCTCCCTTGCTTTTCAAGGAGCAAGTTAGTCATTCAAGTACCTAAAAACAAACAAACAAACAAGCTAACAAACAAATCTCCCTTGTTCTGAAGGTTTTTGAGTTTGGAAGTCACTCAAATACTTCCCTTAAGAACCTGAAGAGTACTCTCATTCTAACAGCTATTTCAAAACAAATAGTTGTTTCTTGGTAGTGATAACATAGCATTATTATCCCAGTATACTAGTATACTGCATTTAAAAAATCGGCACAATCTAAGATCCCAGCTGAGTGAAGGGTAAATTTCCTTAGGTTCCTCTTCTTTAAAACAGAGATGACGGGCTCTGTTTACCTCATAATGTTATTGTGGGGATCAAATGGTACATATTTTGATCAAGTCATTTTGATGCCAAGAATAATTTGACACAGCCTAAAAAAATAAGTCATGAAATGTTTTCAGCACTTAAGAAACATTACCGAATATTATGTGAAATAGCCATTTGCCAATACTGATACTCACTTACCTGATTCCTCTGTCTCACACTATTTTAAAAATCATTTTCCCCTATTTTTTTTTATTGAAATACAGTTGACACACAATGTAACATTAGTTTCAGGTGTACAACATAGTAATTTGACAACTCTATACATTATGCTATTCTCACCACAAGTGTAGTTACCATTTGTCACCATATAACACTATCACAATACCATTGATTATATTCCCTATGCTGTACCTTTCAACCTAGTGACTTATTCATTTCATAACAAGAAGCCTGTACCTCCCATTCCCCTTCACCCATTCAGCCTCACTCTTTTATTTTACCTGTTTCTGACTCACCTCTCTCCTCCATATATGTTTGCAGTTGAGAGAGGCTCAGGATAGAATGAAGGTAAGGGATGGCTACTGAGCACATTGCATTGCTTGCCAAAAATTTTTTTAAAAGGTGTTTGACCTTCCTCTGCCATTTGGATTCCAAGTGACTATGTTAAATGGACACCGAATCTAAGAACATGTTATGTTTCTGATCAAATGAGCTGTGGAACACTGAGTAAACTGGAAGGCATGAATTAGTTTACATTCCTCAGTCTTATGGATGTTTCTGCTGGACACAGTGTAGGTCTGAATGGAGTGATCCTAAGTTTCATTTATTCATTTAGCAGATGTTTATCAAGCACTTGAAATGTAGCAGGTATTGAGATAATTGCTGGGTATACAAAGATAAAAAAGATGGCCACTGCTAGTCTTACAGCCTAATAAAGAGAAAGGACTGTGATTATAACAACAATAAATACAACTATTTACTGAGTAGTTTTCATGTCCTACACAATGATCTCATTTAAATATAAGTGAACAAATAAACACAAAAGTGTGTTATGTTATGGGTCTTCTCTTTTATGTGCAGAGTTCAGGTGGGGTGCAAATAATGGAATGAGTGGTCAGGCAAGGTTTCAAAGAGAAGATATCTTTTTTCTTAATAATAAAAAGATTAAAATATTTGATTATTGTGTATATGTACACTATAAACATTGACTAGTGTCAAAAATACATGTTGAGATTATAAGTGTCATTGACACAGATCAGATGATCATAAAATAGACAACATACAATGTACAGGTATTTTGTCAGTGCTTCTTGTATATAGGTGAACACACACATGGATTGATTGTCACGCTCTCATTCACTGGTGTAGAAGATGTCTTTTGAGCAGTGTCTTGAAGATAGAGATATTTAAATGATGTTTTTATTCATTATTGAAAAATCATTATATTAATCACTGCATCTTTTATGATAGGAAATTTCAAACAAGCACAAAAGTAGAGAAAATAATGAAATTAACTCCCATGTGTTCATTACCCAACTTTATTAATTTTATTTTATTATGTTACGTTAGTCACCATACATTACATCATTAGTTTTTGATGTAGTGTTCCATGATTCATTGTTTGCATATAACACCCAGTGCTCCATGCAATACGTGCCCTCATTAATACCCATCACTGGGCTAACCCATCTAGCTATTATCCCACTAAAACCCTCAGTTTGTTTCTCAGAGTCCATAGTCTCTCCTGGTTCATCTCCCCCTCCAATTCTACCCCCTTCATTTTTCCCTTCCTACTATCTTCTTCTTCTTCTTTTTTTTTTTTTAACATATAATGTATTATTTGTTTCAGAGGTACAGGTCTGTGATTCATCAGTCTTACACAATTCACAGTGCTCACCATAGCACATACCCTCTCCAATGTCCATCAACCAGCCCCCCCATCCCTTCCACCCCCCCCATCACTCCAGCAACCCTCAGTTTGTTTCCTGAAATTAAGAATTCCTCATATCAGTGAGATCATATGATACTTGTCTTTCTCTGATTCACTTATTTTGTTTAGCATAATACCCTCTAGTTCCATCCACGTCATTGCAAATGGCAAGATTTGGGGGTCTTTTTTATGGCTGCATAATATTCCATTGTGTATATATATATACCACATCTTCTTTTTTTTTAAAGATTTTATTTATTTATTTGACAGAGAGACACAGCAAGAGAGGGAACACAAGCAGGGAGAGTGGGAGAGGGAGAAGCAGGCTTCCCATGGAGCAGGAAGCCCGATGCGGGGCTCGATCTCAGGACCCTGGGATCATGACCTGAGCCAAAGGCAGACACTTAATGACCGAGCCACCCAGGTGCCCCCCACATCTTCTTTATCCATTCATCTGTTGATGGACATCTTGGCTCTTTCCATAGTTTGGCTATTGTGGACATTGCTGCTATAAACTTTGGAGTGCACGTACCCCTTCAGATCACTACAACATTACCCAACTCTAATGGTCATTAACTCATGACTACTCTTTTTATTTTATATTCCCAAACACTTCGCACGCCCAGGGGATTATTTACCTGTAAAAATCCCAGGCTTCATATCATTTCATCCGTAATTATGTCAGTATGTTTACCTAAGAGATAAGGATTCTTTTTTCCTAACATTACTGTAATATCTTTAGCATACATCATAATAATAATACTGCCTTAATATCATCAAATAGTCAGTCAGAATTCAAACTTCCCCACTTGCCTTATAAGTATTTTGACAGTTGGTTTGCTTGGACCAAGATCTAAACAAGGCCATGCATTGCATTATGTTGGCATGTGAGAGACACATATGAATATAAGATTGGAAAGATACACGCTGCAAGTTTTTCTTTGAGTTCCCCAGACAAGTTAGTTTCTTCCTTAGAATATTGTGCACACTTCCAATGTAGCATGTAGCCCATTGTGCTGCTTTTTGAACATGCTTCTTTTTCCTTATTTCAAAAATAATAAATATACATCAAAAGAAAATTACGAAAATACAGATAAGCAAAAAGGGGAAAAATCTGATAGGGATAACCACCGACTTTTGGTATATGTCCTTTTGGTGCATAGATTTTCCTAAGAAAATATTTTATATATATCTTTATAAAATTGTATTTCATACTATAATTATCTGCTTATGTAATTTATCCCACTCACTATTTATCCCACTAAACTATGAGATCCTCAAAGGAAAGGATCTTGTCTTATTTATTTTTCATTTCTCAGCCATCCTTACAGCATCTGGAAACCTATTGGCTTAAATAAATGAATAAAATGATGAGGATTACAAGTTCACCTTTGGTCTTCAAATGCTGAGACTTTGATGGTTGTTCCACACTGGAGGTTTAGAATGGCCTTATGGTGCCAGGAGCTGCCAGTTCCTTAAAGAGCTGTTATCCCCTCTATCAGTATGAATCTCCACTCAGCACTTTTTTTTACACAAAAGAGTAGTCTTGCCGAAGAGGTGTTCATGAAAGGCCTAAGAATAGCAAGGCAGAGCTGGCAAAGGCCCTCACAGCTACAGAATTATTGGAATAAATCTGTTGCAGTTAAAGAGACTGACACAGGATACCAGTAACTAGAGATAGCTGCTGGTATAGCTCAATGGAGAAGTAGATGTGAATCTGAAAATTCACTATCAGAGGAAAGTTGAAATAACCAAGGGTAATAGAAACAAG